TTCAGGACTGAAGCGACTTTAATCCACTCTGTTATATAAGAGGAAACGTCGAAAGTGGCCGGTATTTCTTCCAAAATACGCAATTTCTTTTGTCCTTACATAACAATCCTCTCGTTTTATTCAGAAATATTGAAAGTTAATTCTGCTTTCATAACTGACTTAACACTGAACCTTATGTGCGTGTCAAATTACATAACAATCCTCTCGTTTTATTCAGCAATATTGAACGTTAATGCAGCTTTCACTACTGACTTAGAACCTTATGTGCGTGTCAAAATAAAACGGACACCTTAATTACTCTGCATGAAAGTAAATGACAATGTTGTTAAAGATGTTGCGATGGATCATATATATAGATACACGTTAATAGAAGCTCGATTAACCAATGGGACGGGACACGAGAGAGTGGAGTCACGGAACAACATTTCGGTACATTTAATGAACAAATATTGTGAGCGATCACAGCCCACATCTGACCTATATAAACCTTGTGATTTGTTTAAGTACGACTGTTTTATACGTGATTTTCCTGACACGCATTTCATTGTCTCTCTCCCGTTGCAATGTGAACTTGTGACCATTTGAGTTCTGAACGTTTCTTCTGTTAGAAAGGTTTCATTATTTACACTTTCAAACGTTTTTAGCAAAACATTAAATTGTTACGTCGTGTGTTATTGTCGAACAATGAAGTTTGCCATGGCAGTGTTTCTGCGATGGAAATGGGTAAGATTTCGTTACAGAATTAGATGCAAATGTAATTGGTTAACTTAATTGTTGTTATTATCGTGTGTTAACCTCTTAAGACTCTAATTTTAATTACTGAAATTTCATAAAGATTTATATGTGTATCTTTAAATATAAAATTATAACTGTGAATGTAGTCCAATAACAAGAAGAATTAAATCTTCACTGATTTTTAAAGTTTTAAAATCTGTATATATACATTTACAGCGATTTAGATGAATACGAGGCTGTTTTTAATAAACGATTACACCAGTATATTTTTCGGTTTTAATTTTAAACTTCTTTTCATGTTTGCGTTAGGAAAGGCTGCTAATTGTACTCGTATTTATCGTGACGGAGGTGCTGAAGACGAATCAGGCTGCAGTAAGTTCTTGGACAGCTGGACAAGAATTTCGAAGACCGCGGGATGTACTGGAGTGTGTGACAAAAATCTGTACTCGTCACTTTGCTCCTAACCGCACTATAGTCTTGTCATCTTCGAGCACTGTCAGACAATTTCCAGGATTCGTTTCATCACTGCAAATGAACGACGACTCCAAGTACAGTGCTGATTTTGAGACCCGACTACTGGAAGACCTTCACATTGTTGGTAGATGGTCAATTGTTTTGTCACAGCCTAGGAAAAATACAAACAAAAGTGCCTTGGAGAAATACAGCAATTACATCGTTGTCGCGAGATCCCAGGATGGGAAATTGCTTGGGTTTAAAGAGCAGATATTTCATCTGGAGTCGTCCGAAGGGTGGAATACCCTTGCTAAGTTTATTGTTGTCTTAGAAACTCATGGAAGGTTGGTATCAGTGCGAGAAACAGCTGTTATTGCCCTACAGGAATTGTGGCAACGGAAGGTGATGAATGCAGTAGTACTGGTTGAACAGAACGAGACGGTGAACATTTACACTTGGTTTCCTTACCCTCATCCCAGAGATGAATTTCTAGATGTCTGTGTGACACAGACTGACCGGGATTGGTTTCCAAGGAAGCGGAACTTGTTTCCAGGAAAGATCCCTAGAGACATGCAAGGATACATGTTCAGAGTTTCTGCACCCAACCTTCCTCCGTTTGTTATGATTGAAGGAGGGAACAGAACTTCGAATCTCTATGAAGTAGACGGGTTAGAAGTGAGATTGCTACGATGTGTAAGCCAGAAGATGAACTTGTCCAACATTGTTATACATTATGATGGAGATTTTCCATACGGAAAGGAAATAGAAAATGGAACGTGGGATGGAATTATTGGTGATCTGGTGTCTAACAGAAGTGACGTAGCTATCGGTGGTTGGTTTGGATATGTAATCCGTGAAGAGCCCCTTGATTCATCTGTTCACTACTTCACTGATCAATTCCCAATCTTCGTACCGCTTGCCGAAAAGTTTCCTTCGTGGTTAAGTTTCTCTCGCGTGTTTGGAAAATTCACTTGGCTGTGTCTGTTGATTTCTATCCCCCTGACGGGAATCTTATTTCGGTATGTGGCAACTCAGCAGGCTGACGAGTCTAGAAGGTACGGAAGATTTTTAAATTGCGTGTCTTACGCCTGGTGTGTGGTGTTGGGAGTTTCTGTAGTTGAAATGCCTCGTAGCTCGCCACTCCGTGTCCTGTTCATCGCGTGGTTGATATATTCTTTAGCGATAAACACATTATTTCAGACGTACGTCACAGTTTTCATCATGAATCCTGGAGTCGAACATCAGATCGATAGTTATGAGGAACTTGGTGAATCGGAACTCGAATTCGCATTTGAAGAATTCTATAACAGTTTTCTAAGTGAGGAAACTTTAAAAACTTTGAAGCCACGGTATGTATGTGAAGGTCCACACAGTTGTTTTTTGTACGCCATATCGAATCACGGTAAAGCACTTCTCACTAGTCGCGTGTTTGCCCTTTCTGAGGCAGACACTCTTGGTTACGCCAGAAACTTTCCACTGCATTCATTCACTGAGGACATGTTTCAGTTATATATAGTAATGGTGTTTCGGGAAGGATATCCACTTCTGGAAAGTTTCAACACCATAATTACGCGCTTAGTAGAGGCAGGTCTGTCGAACAAATTTCTGGAAGATGTAATGGACATGTTACGCTCCAAGAACGATTCTCTGGCGTTTGACACTAGTTTCGATTATACCCCCATGTCAGCATCTCACTTACATTCGCCTTTCGTGCTACTGTTTCTTGGTTTCGCATCAAGTTTCGTAATATTCCTCGGGGAGCTGATCATTCATAGAGCGCGTTTATTAACAATTGCATCTAATGCTTGAAGAGATTTCAGGTTCTCACGGAGACGAATGTAAGGATGGCTGTTTCCTGGAATGTTGCTCTCCGTAGGTCTGGTAGAAATTTTGGAAGATGAAAATGGTTACAATGTAGATTAACTTTGTGTTTAAGGATACATTTATCTTCGAAATGTGTTGTTGTATGTTGTTGTTGTCGCTTTGTCAAAGGATTATTCGTAATGAAGGAAATAGCGTACTTTTTTTGTAAATTCAACATCTTTTGATTCCAGTATCTAAGGTTTAAAGGCATCTTTATTATGTTATGAATAATCTTTTGGTGTGTATTATGGTGTGAGTGAATAACCTTATGGTAAGTTACGTGTTTTGTATGCCTTAGTTCAATTTTTTGTTAAGAAAAATTTAACATATGAACAAAGCATAAAGTGGAAGAAATATCTGTTTCAGAAGTGTTTCTCCATATTTCAGTAGTTAAGCGTTGGTTTCTTTTGGTTCTCTTTCCAAAAAAAATAATGATGCACCGGTTAATATGAGTGGAGTTCAGTTATTTACCCCAGTTCTTGGTGTGGGTTTGAGACGATTTCCTAATTTGCTCTTTGTTATTCTGGGTATCGCATTAGTACAGGTATTTATTTTGTTACAAGCAAAAACATACACTTTTAGATATCACATTTATTACCCATAGCTTAAATGTTTTTCTCCTGCAATTCGTTAAATATTTACCATATCGATAAATGTTAAACAAATGTGTCGACTAAATCTTAACAAGGTCCAGTCTGTACATTATATTAAATGTCACTCTTTTGTATAATGAGTGATTACTTAACAGAAATGTAAACTTGTTTAGCTCTTTATATGAAGTAGATATTTATATGTATTGAATCAGCATGGATATAAATAAAATTTATCATACAAATTTTACTGCAAATCCGTTAGTTATTTTCGGAAACAACACATGAGGATAGACGATTCATTCAGTTATTCGATGCATTCTATGCTTAAAACGTATAGCCAGTAATTGGTGACGGGCAGCTGTGATCACCCCACAATATGTGAACCGACCTTGGGTTACGCTAAATCGCGATTCTTATGTCGATACGTGTACCCCTTTCTACGATTTATAGAGACTTTTGAGTCTACACACAAGCAGCTGTCTGTGGGGAGGGGGGCACACGTCCGCCACACGCCCGGCAGTGTCTGCTAGCCAGCTGCTTGGTCCAGGGGTGTGGGGTCAGATGGCCTCCCCATGCACCCCTTCCAACTCCCACCCTGCCTTCCACTTCCTAACCGCTTCCTGGTACAGTTGTGTAATAAACCATTCGTTGATTGTCCGTGTTTTTGTCAAATTCGGCGAGAGAAGCATTGACATTTTATTATATAAGTATTCTGAAACAGACTTGTTTCAACATTTCATAGTTATTCACTGTTAAAAATACCTCCTTCGAAAGTAGGCCGGTATATTACTCTCATTACAAAATTTTTACCGAAGTTGTTCTCAGTCTGCCCAACCGAGTTACAGGAAGCAAAATTGTACCTTGAAATAATCTATGGTCACGTGCTTCCAAATTTTGAGTTACAATTGTTGATCAGTCCTGTCTTACCCAACACAAGTAATCTCTGTAGTTTAAATGCTAAGAAACATAAAAATCGGGTAGATTTTAGGTTCTCATGGCGGCGGGTGCACAGAAATTTAAAATGCGTCGTTCTTGTAAGTCGGACGCTGCAGTTGCGTGCGCGAAGCTGAAGGCAATGTCCAGTCTTGTAGCTGTTTGTCTATCTGAAGACGCATGGGTGGTTACTGCTTCCTCCATCACGTCAGTTGTCCTCTGCTAATTTGTAGATATAAAGTTTTGTTTTCTACTGTAAATATTCTTATAAAAAAAATTTAAGATATGCCTTAAAGTTATCACAAAGTTTTCCGACATCTATACGTTCATGTCGTCTAATGGATAATAAACTCTTTAAGCTGTCATGTGCCAGTTGGTTAACGAAGGTTTTTGTCATTTGACTCTAATATTAATCAGTTTAATTATCCTCACATCGACACATCCTATTTATCGAATATATGGTTTGGTATTTTATTCCTTCTAGTTCTGTGTGTCCAAAACTCTCTCTCTCTCAAAATTTTGTATGCATTTCGCACTTTGGACATGCGTACTACATGTCCTGAAAATTCAGTCGTTATCCTGAAGAGGGATTGTTCGAAGTAAGAACATAAACTAACTAGTATTACAGACAGATCAGCTGCACCTGGTGCATGCTGCAGTTCTTATGGTAGTGCAGTACTTTGTATTTCCGTATGGAGGGTATTGGTAGTACCCGATAGTAGGAGGGATGGTGTGTGACGTCACAATCTGCACCTCAAGGGGGGCAGTTGGCGTGCTGGAAGCGAAGCGTTGCTGTGTTTTTATCTGCGTATCCTGGAAATTATATCTAATTAAAATTGTACGTCATTTATGGAGCGGATGAATTACTCCATCTTCATTACGTACCAACAAGTGTGATTGGTGCAGCTATTTCTGAAAGTAGATAGACGTATTTCGTCCTTGTTCGGTTGTGTTTTGTTTTCAATCGCTGTGGTGGTTGCAGTTCATGCGAGAAGCTGGTGAATGTGCTCTCCGTGCATTTGGTAGTTGTTGAAAATGTGTGACTCAGCTGCTCTTCGGCCGTGGAAAAGATCAAGATCCGTAAGTTGATATGCACTTGTCGAAATACTGTTTAGTGTGCTTATTTTTGTCATTACCTTGCTTACGTAATCAAGTTGCAACCTGTGCAAAACTCTTTCTTCTATTAGGCACGTAAAGCATAGAAGTATGAAGATTTCTGTCTCCTGGGCTGTTGCGCTGTGTAGTCTGGTAAGCGTTGGTAAACATCGACCAGACTACACAGCGCAACAACCCAGAAGACAGAAATCTTCATACTCTGATGACAGAGGCAGTATGACCTCTGAAACGTTGGTTAACATCGACCAGACTACACAGCGCAACAACCCAGAAGACAGAAATCTTCATACTCTGATGACAGAGGCAGTATGACCTCTGAAACGTTGGTTAACATCGACCAGACTACACAGCGCAACAACCCAGAAGACAGAAATCTTCATACTCATCGCTGCGAAAACCTCAAATCTTACATAGAAGTATTTTTGGAGGGGCTGAGGAAAATCACTTGTAACAGTCTCAGTTTAGACTCAGACTAAAACCGTGAACCTTTCTAATTCAACGTGTTCTGCATCTCAAATACAACTTTATTCTCTCAAAATGGAGGAAAAGTGAATATTTTGTAAGAAATAGACCTTTGGTCTAACTCCATAAAAATATTTATCACCTGTCCTTTTATGGAACGCGAAGTTTTATGGCTGTGTTTACAAGAGACAGCCAGCTACCTTAAACCAGATGAATTTTGTCCACTTCCTAACATTCTATTTCCATATGATCTATGTTATTATTATCCTCCCTTCTACGCCGAATTCTTCATAGCTTGAGGACCGCCCTTTGTCGGCTGTCCGCGACTGATTCTTCGACATATTCGCAGCTATCCCCACATCTACAAACCTTATCCTATGCCGTGTTGCATTTGACACGAAATAGTTTTAAAAAGGTGGATAATTATTTGTGCCGATGTGTTCGATTGTATCTCCATTTCTCTCTTGCTTTAACAGAAATGGACTTATGAGTTCATGATTTATAAATAAGGCTCTGTACTGTCAACAACAGATTTCTGGCAGCAGTAAATGAATATTCGTGTCACTGAGATAAGTAGATTAGCAGAGAACGCGTTTGGAAACTCTGTATTCCAAACCGGAGAGCTAATTTCCACTTTTTATCCATGAACAGTAATAATTTATAGTGTGACACAGTCCTGTTTCTTCATTGGTGGTCCTCTGTCTGTCACGTACTAAATTGCCTAATCAAAATAGTATAATAACGCAGTGTAAGTGTACCACACGGCTGATGCCGAATGTAATCACATATTCACAATTTGGGTACATAAGATTAATTCGTTTCGTGGATAATTGTTCCTAATGTCTGGAAAGGTACTGAATTGCATATGGCAGCCTGTATACTGTATATTGTAGGTCAACTTTCATACGTAATCAAAGGTACGCTTACAGAAAGTAATTATATACTGTTAGATGCAGAGTACCGCCACGGTGGTCTAGCGATTAGAACGCTGGCCTTGTAATCCTGGGGGTCTCGGGTTCGATTCCCGGCGGTGCCCGAATTTATAACTTGTGTTGGGCAAGGCTGTGGTCTAGGCAACACGGGGGCTTCCCCGGTTTCTCCGTGGCATCCCAATTACTCCATTCACACACAGAAGAAGGCAATGGCAAACCACTTCTGGATCTTCTGCCAAGAACGTATATGAACAGGTTCCAGTCCGAGAAAAGGATGGAAGGATCCTGTTCATATGGACCTGTCGTCAGACAGAACACTTAAATAAAGTGCAGAGTGGTTAGTATACTGTAGGTGAACGTCTGTACTAATTCAGAAGTACACTGTCTTTCTTGAGCACTGTGGTGAGTAGTTCAGTCCGGGAGGAAGTTGTTTTATTGATCGTTGATGGTCATCAGCGCGCCCACAAAAGTTACCATAAACTGTTACCTCCGATTAATTCCTTAAGATACCAAGGTTCACATCCATACAGCGGGTAAAATTATAGTTATGTATATTTTGATATCTACGTTTTTGGGTAGAAAACGGCATGACGAACGATTTTGAACTCTATGGTGAGTTCCCCGCGTTTAAGGAAATTTTAGAACAGGTAACCGGAGCACTGTAAGAAATACAAGGAAGAATTTTCTGGACAGTTCCGATATAATTTAAGCCTCTGTGTGTGTGTGTGTGTGTGTACAATTCAGACTGAACAGTGAAGTAAATGTTATGCCTACTGACCTACATTTCAGTTTCCTCTAAAAAAAAGTAAACAGCTCAAGAAGAAAGAAACTGTATTGCCTTCCTTCTGATTATTATTATATTTTTCTGTGTCGTTATCATCACTCGTTTCTTTGAAACTTGATACCTGAAACCCAAATCTTGATCACTCTTCGTCAGTAGTTTAAGTGTGTCCCAGTTCTTTACCTGTTTAAGCCACCCCCTCTGTATTGTACAAAGGATCGCCATAATTTAGGTAACCGTTATGTTTTATTATGTACGATTTTCGTTTGAAAGCAAAGACGAAGGAGGGTTCGGTGGAATCTTTTTGATGCTCCTTGCATGTTTGTAGGTCACAGCATATTGCTGCATATGGCGTTCGAAATTCGATTTGTGACAGATGGGATGAAGTCACAGTGCGTCGGCAGGTAGAAGGGAAACCAGGGGTGAGATCCTAGTACCCAGTAGCACTGAAGGGAATTTTAAGCGTTTTGTAGATATCAGAAATTAAGGTCATTAATATTCTATTGTGATGTAAAATTCTTGTCAGTAAAGGAAACGTGTTGCTGGTTGCTGTACAACAGATCGGTGAATTGAAACAGCATGTTTCAAGGTTTGTAAAGGATTTGCGTCAGAGTAAACGGGGTCTTTAAGCGGATTGTATTAACATGTTTTGAGATGAGGAAGTATAGGAAACGAAATTTTGAGTATGAAATAGCTCATTATTAACGACAAAGACCGCCACGGTGGTCTAGCGGTTAGAACGCTGACCTTGTAATCCTGGGGTCTCGGGTTCGATTCCCGGCGGTGCCCGAATTTATAACTTGTGTTGGGCAAGGCCGTGGTCTAGGCAACACGGAGTTTTCCTCCGTGGCAACCCAACAATTACTCCATTCACACACAGAAGAAGGCAATGGCAAACCACTTCTGGATCATCTGCCAAGAACGTATATGAACAGGTCCCAGTCCGAGAAAAGGATGGAAGGATCCTGTTCATATGGATCTGTCGTCAGACAGAACACTAATAATAATAATAATAATAACGACAAAGTAGCTCATAGGAGAATGGTAAATAGTGATAACTGTACTAATGCTGTAGAATTAAGGAATATAGGAAAGTAACTGTTTAGAACTAGATGTAAATTTAAAAACGAAACTAAGATATAAGTGGGAAGGTATTGCACAATAACTTTCATAAAAAGCTGGACATATCTTGACTATCTGAGCGTCTATCAGCGTATCGAGAGGGACTGCTATTTTTGAAGATGATTATGTACAATCGGCCATCTTCATAAAATTCGCAGAAAAACTGGAGCCTACATTTGTAAAAAAAAAGTACTTGGTTATTGCGTGCGAAGTCAGCTGTGAGGGGGGTAAAAAGGATTTTATGGCTTTAACGTACAGGGGTCAAACACACACTGTGTGGGCCCCTAATGTAAACAATAGGGGGGTGCTTTTTATGTGAGAAGGGGCCGATGTCTCATAAACAACAAAACATCTTAATGTATAAATTTATATACTTTTATTAACTTCTAAGAGACCCACCGATACAATAAAATGTTTTATTGCGTTATATAGTATTTTTCTGATGTGCTACATTGTGAATATTAATAATAGACGCACAGAGTGGATGTCGAACAAACATACCAACGCTAACATCCTAATCCAAGGGTGTCCAGGTTCTGGGCAGGAACGAAGTGCATATCAGACTTCACGCTCTGTAATACGTTTAGTTATTCACGTTGAGTTTTGATTGTGGCTTTCAGAAGATGATGGATGGCTCACAAGATCTTAGATATGTTGGCTTTCAAGAAAAATGTGTTCATGTTTTTTTTTATAAAATCCAACGGCAATGCATAGAAACAGTTCCGTTTATTTTGTCAACAGAGAGCAAGTTTCTTCCTCGGAAGTAAAGCAGCTGAAGGGTGGTGCTAACCACTCACCTCCATCTAGTACAAAGGTTAAGAATACGTGGAACTACGCCTCCATTCCCGTATAAGTCTGCAAGGCGTGCTACTCAGTCATGCACCAGGGGCAGCTTTGATTTCTGGACGCATATCTGTTGAATAAAATCCAGGTTTCAACCTTGTCGTTTGTCGAATCCCTTACAACGATTTGATAAACACTGCAGTTGACATCTTTAGTAGGCTTGACACTCACCCCGAAAGTGGAAACTTTAGCGTTTTCCGAAACATTACAAATAATCCAGCAAACGACGCGGGCCAAGCCCATAATTAATTTCACGCTTCAGACACCGTTCACAAAATCGTAAGGACAAGTATTTCGCGTATGAAATATAAGTAATTATGGATAGGTCTTTCACCGCTGTTAGAACGACATGATACGTATTGTTTCGTCACAGTAAGTACACCTACCTTCTTAATATTTTTTTAATATTTTCCACACTGAGGGCCACATTAATCCTCGCTCGCGTTATCACTGTATCTTGTAGCGGTGATAAAATTATATGTGATGCCACAGCCCTTCGTTTCTGAACCCAAATTTAATTTATAACATTTCGGTATTTGTTTCTTGCATTGCGCTGAGTTTTGAGTCTGTTAAGGTGTTCGAGTTTAATTTTATTGTTTACGTTGTTAGTGAAGTTTAATGAGTATTCAAGTAGTCTTATAAATCATATTAACTATCATAAAGCAAAATGTTGTTAAAGAGTTGTGTGATGTAAGAAATATATAGTTCCACCTTATTTTAAAAACACTTGAGTGATGAATTGGTACTTCATTAGTAGTTTATATGAACGCTACGTCAAGACACAATTCTAAGCAAACAACATAATGTTTAAGTTGTGTTTACCTTGTTAAATGTGTTGACAGTTACAATTAACGAGTGGGTTTGAATCAACACTGAACTCATTAACAACCAAAGTACGAATAGTAAAGTAAACATTTTAGTATGTCCACCCCTGGAATCCTTCTTTTTTAACACTCACACTAAAGTGTTTTAAAACGTATTTGTGGAGTGACTAAGTAAAGTTCGCATGTCTATTTCATGGCTCAATTCACCCGGCGCCATATTTATATTATGGTCTGTGTGAAACCCAGGCTGGTTTTGAACGCAGAGGGCAAGAGTGCTGTTGATGTATGGATGTGTGAGATCTTAGTTTAGAATCATAAACCGCAGAAAATGTATATTTTTTGGTCGGCTCGTTTCGGTCAAGATTTTAATGAACAACGTTCTAAGCGTCAAATATTAACTTACATGAAAATCGTCAGTTATCCTGTAAATGTTTAACTGTTTCATATATTTATTTATTTATGGTAATGGAATTGTGTTTGACACTGCTTGAATCTTTCTGTAATACATATGACACTGTATGGAGAGGTGGCTTCGCTCCAACATTAGATGACAGTCACTGTGTATAACATTAAGGCACAAGACCACTAATATGAATGCCCGATAATGTCCCATTATCGTGAGAAAGGAGACGGACATTTTGAGTGGCCCACAATGTGGTTTTCCCTTACGCTACAGCGTGAAGAAAACTTAAAAACGGTAAAATTGTCCTTGGTTTTTAATAAGCACTGCTCCACGCAGTCTTAAACTAGGAACTAGGAAAGTAATGAAGTTTATAAAACAATGCTCTTTTCAGGATCCTGACCTTGACCGATGGTCTTCGTCACAGTCCGAGCTGAAGCGACGTCGCGGAAGCAAGAGTGCCGAAGACGTAAGGCAGTGTACGCGTGACGTCGCTCAATCCCCTGTGAGTATCTCTCGTGCCTTGAGTACATTAAATGCAATCTTTAGTGGAAA